GGACTCCTCTCTCTTGTAAGGTATGGACCAGTGGTCAGTAAAGACTCGACTTTCCAGTTCATACAGGTTGGTGGTGGGAAACTCCATGCTTCCCCCAGAGCAGTTCCCATTCTCATCATTGCTCCTCTGTAACACACAAACACAACAAAATTGTGACATAAAGCAGAGGGTGACTGCATTTCATACGGCTCATCCCATTGTTTTATAATGACACTGCAAATGTCCTCTGTGTGATGCTAGGATAATACAAATGGCCTCTGGCGATGATAAAGTCAGACAGGATGATGCCTGAGTCTTCTCCTCTCTCTGGGAGAGGAGCGATAGCAGTCATTTGGAAAGTGTGTCCTCTCCTCTATGATCTGCCCTTCATCTCTGTAATATTTTTATCTTTCTATTTCCTCCCAAGAAGCTTTCAGAACAAATTAAGGCAGGTGCTTGTTAGTAAGTCCTTTGGCAGCAATTAAGTCTAAAGAGTGGTGATGTGTAAGTCAGGGTGTGAGAGCTAGACAGTCAAGTTCAATGAATACCCTGCCAAATGACATGACACTGTCTTGTTAGCTGTATGATGGCGTCATGCCTGAGCAGGTAATAAAGAGACAGCTAAAATTCAACTCATTTAGAGTCAAGTTTTATACCATCTGTAGTTATGATTCACAGAGCAGAATTAAGGCTCAGCTGGAATAAGAAGACAGAAGAAGGCAGTGGCAGTGAAGCCTAGGAGTCTATGTGGTAAAAGCAAAAACAGTTAAAGGGTTAGTAAATTATTTATGCCATAAACTTGCTTACATATTCATGAGGTCAAGTGTATATTTATGATTAACCTTCACAGCCTCTTCCTCTCAAACAGTGCTGCCCAGCCAATTCATTCAACATTTAAGGATGGCGCAAACTAGGTGCAGATGTTAAAGTAATAACTGAACCATTTAATAAAGCTTGACCTGCTGTGTTACATTGGAAATTATGTTAAACTACAACTGATTCAACTTCCACTACATTATGACTGTAACAAACTATTAGAGACCATTGCTCATGTGGAAGCTGCACAGTATAAATATTAATTAGCGGTACAGTTAAATATAGTTATATACATATTAACATAAACAGTGGTCAGTGCATTCAGTACATGACTGTCCTGCATATCGATGTATATGAGAAAATATTATTAATCAATCACAGAGAGGAGAAGAGGAGGCAAAGGGAAAGATAAAGCATAAAGGATAAAGGAGGAGCATCATATTTCATCTCTTCCATTTCTTAGAAAATTAAATACGACAGATAGATGAGAGGAAGAAAAGCTGGAGAAAGACTAAACTAATACAGATCTTTGGAAACACCCCAATGAAAGAGCACAACTGGCAGAATTTCCTAACCACAAGTCAATGCCCTGTTTCAAAGAAGTACAATATAGGGAAAACCACAAATCACCATGAAACATGCACTAGGCTCCAATACTTTCAATGCTTCCAGACTTAAGGGCTTTAGAGGGAAAAGGCTGAAAAGCACTGCATGCGTGTGGCTGGCCTGGACAATGAGGTAACTCAGTGCCACTGTTACTATGCACCCGCAATCCTCCTGGGATCCTCTGCAAAAACTGCAACGTGTTTGTGTGTGTCAGGGACACTGCAGGGCTATATTTAGGAGCATGACATGAGGCCAAAGACCTATGACAGCCTTCATGAACATTAATACAAGAAACAAGGGAAGAGAAGAGGGCAAATACAGCACTTTCCAACTTTGGATTATTCTCTATAACTTTATAATTTTTGTAGGAATGAGTGAGATTTATTTCTCTGTAGTATATCAAATACGCCACACACACGCACAGACACATTTATATAGCAATTACAATAAATGCTCAACTAGTAAATAGTAGCAAATATGTTTGGTTGGAAAAAGATTCAAATTGTACTTCTAACTTTTTCTGGCAGATGAACAAACAGGGGGAAAATGGGATTAAATAACAGGAGTTACTTGGTGGTAAATTAATCTGTAACAACATCATTATTAGAATGTGTTTAAACATAGGCTTCTTATTGACCTGTGGGTGTGCTCTATTTTCTGCACACTGTGAATGCCAAGTGTTGTTTATATTACACTTACTAAAACAGCCTGTAATAAACCACCACCGTGATAACGGGGTAGAAGAAAAAGCAGGTGTAAACAGGAACAGGTCAGTAGTTTATGTGTACTTATTCTATTGACCCACAATCACAGCATCTCACTACAATCAAAGGGACACAACAGGTGGCTATCAAGTCTGAATCAATAACCTCACAAATTGAAGGACTGGTCACTTTCAATAGCCTTAAGTTTTTGGAAATCTATAAAAGCAAAGGGTTTGAGGTTAGGTTTGTGTTTAAGGTGTTCAAGGTGTCAGGTGAATCATATGTAGATGGGCATCTGCGGTTTACTGTAATAGCACATAAACGCCGTAAATTAGGACAAAGTGTTAAGACCTGTAGGTAGGTAAATTACTGTGAAAGAACTAGTGACTGGTATTTTTCAATCAACTACAACCCTTCTCATACACGCAATATGTAAGAATTATCAATGAATGACACAAAAATAGATACTCATATGATGACAACTGACATTATGAATAGAAAAATAATCAAAATGGCCACGTATGCTTAAAAATGAAATTGCGAAACCGCTCTAAGCCCGGTTCGAGTGGACTGCAATTCCTACAGGAGCGGAGCAGTCTGATAACCATCCAGCTAACGTTAGCTAACACATGCAAAGCAGACATAAGAGATCAAACTGTCTGCCTGCAGGCTGACTGGCTGATAGAGCTGTTTACCTGTTACCAGAGGTCCCAGCTGAAATCTCTAACTGCAATCCCCCAGAGTGATGCCTCTGTGCTCCTAACCTTGGTCCCCTTACTGGCGCGTTTAACTCTAAACTAACGTTAGCTAGCCTGCTACAAGCTAACTGCGTTAGCTTTTATGTTCAAAATAGGCTTTCAGCGCAATTTTTAAAGGAACGAAGCTTAACAATCACAGGCAACTCTCTTGCTCTCTCCATTAGTATCGAACAGAATTTCACCTCCTGCTCTGACAGTTCGCGTTAGGTGCATGTAGCACTGAAGATGCTAAGTTTAGCCAGTTAAATGGGCGAGCCCACTCTTTCTTGCAAGCGGCAATTAGCCCGGTTTCCTCCCCTCGCTGCTTCAATTCATGGTTGCTAAAACTACAGGTTTCTCTTACCTCACTATCCACTACGTCGTGGTATGCTGGAGGAGGGTCAAACCCTCCTGTGCCAGTCCGCCCGCTGTTTTCCCCCTCTCCACTCGAGCCCAAGCCGGGGTTAGGCCCACTCTCCATCGGTTCATATCCATACCCGAGTCCGGGGCTTTCGTTCGTCAAGAGCGCCACTGCCTCGTTGATGTCATTCTTAGCCAGCCGGAGCGCTTTTCGTATCACGTCGGGGTCTGGGAAGCCCATACAGAGGAGCGTCGTTATGTGCTGCTCCTCTTCGGTCTCCATTTTTGGGGTGTCTCTGTCTAGCAGACTAGTAGTAACGGGGTTTTCGGCACAGCCCTGTAGCTGTGCACGCCGCCATGTTTACAGTCCGCTGCTACTAGCCTGTCACGATTTGCTTCGCTCACAACAGCGCCGACACAGGTGTTACGGCGACTTCTGCCTGCCAAGCGCTGCATGCTTCTCGCGGGAGCGCGCAGAGGGAAACGAAAGTCATTTTATTTTGACGCAAGGCCCAATTTCATATGTAACTATTGCTTAATAATTTATTTTTAAAAATCCCAGCGGTCCCCTTTTCCTTTCACTTAAGTTTAAGTGCATTCTGGAAACGTTCACATTCATAAACAGTCCATTTATTAAACTGATGAACAACAGCCTGAGATGTCATTTAAATGGGCTCAATGCAGTTTTGAACACTACTTAAAGAAGTCCTGACCCTTTTCTTTCCGATTTTGAACAATAATTTTTCACATTCACCTGGTCTTACAAAAAAAATGACGTACTGTAGTAAAGAAAGGAAACCCATCAGTGGGATTTAGTTTTCTTTCCTTGTCCAACTTACTTTAATTGTGGTATGGTAAGTAAAATTATGTATATATATATGTATATATAGAGATAGATAGATATGTGTGTGTGTGTGTGTGTGTGTGTGTGTAGGCCTAGTAAAAAGTTCAAAATTCCTGGACTCCTTCTTTTTGCTATGTTTACATTCCCCAGCCATGCAGTAGGCCAGTTCGGGCACTTTCCTCGTCCCCTGGCCACACATTTGACATCCATTCTCAAACTGTTTAACAATAGTGTCATTTTCACTGCTGGTGTAATTATAATGTATGGCCGTCTATTTTGATTAGAAAGTAAAATAAAAATGAAAAAAGACGTTGTTTTTTTTCTAGAAAAATGAGCATTGCAACAAAATTTGAGAAACCACAGAAATATTATAAAGTATTAACAATCTTAAAATTTTGACCTACCGTGGTTATTTTCACAAATAAAACTTTTCTTCGATTAAATTTGGTGTAACCTTCTTAGGGATCAAAACACTTGGTCATAATCATGGGACGAAACATGATAAAAGGGCTATATGTAAGTTTTAAAATGGTGGCAGCTGAAGGAACAGATAATTAATTGTGAGGATCAGTTCAGATCAGACATCAGCTCATACCACCAGGACCTTACTCTGAGAATGGTTTAATTAGAAAAACCCTAGCCCAGGTTAGTTTTCTTTTGTTTTGTTCAGCAAAATGCTTTCAGACATTAACTTAGACTTAGACTTAACCTTCTTAACTGAACATTAACACGTGAGCAATGAATGTTTGAAGATATTGCAGTTTATAATAAATTGCTGTAGTTTATAAAAATGTATAATAATTTAGTTTTGTTAAATAAATAAAATAAATATTTTTTCAGGCATAAGTGCCTGATAAACCATGTTATTTAAAAGTCCAACTTTTTTTTTTACATTTATATTAAAGCTACAGAGGATACCCTTTAAATACCGAAGAGCCGTTTACTAATGAAGGGCGTGGCTTTGCCATAGAGCGCGAGAATGGGAGCGGCGGCTGTTGGTGGCGGGCGTGCGTCACGTGAACACTCGGCTCATGTGACAGGGGAAAATCAAAACAGGAACAAAATGGCAGCAACTGGAGACGAAGCCGCTGCCATGGATAGCATCTCCAGGGCACCATCGACTCATTCGGCGACTCTGAATCCGACCGCAAGTGATAGCGGTCAAGCAGAGGGCCCGGGGGATGCAGCGGAAAGCCTCGCAGCCGCTCCGAAAAAACACGGCACAAACAGTGAGTCCTGGTTTCTTTGCACTTCCCTAGCTAATGCTAATATAGCATACAGTAATCCAATTATTTAGTTTTCTATTTGTGGGTCTTACATTGTCTGCTCTACATGGCATCCTTCTTATTTGTGTAATGTGATTGTATTTTGCGTTATTTCATTTATATTGTGGCCACATTTACGTTTGCAACTGGATTTAAAAGCTGCGCTGTGTTAATGCTGCTGCATTGTTTTCAGGTGATGGTGGTGTGGAGACAGCAGAGGAGGCTGTGGAGCCTGCAGAGCCCGATATAAACGAGTTGTGCACCGATATGTTTGAAAAGATGGCCATCTTCTTGCAAGGAGAACTAACAGGTCTTATTTTTTGAATATTGGAAACACTCGCATTTTCTTTTCAAAGTATGAAACAGTTATATTCTTAAATGTCAAAGCCATAGGGCCAGTTGCTGATGTTCTTTGCTACTCGTATTCATTCTTACCCATTTTTCTCTAAATGTTCTCCCAATCTCCTTAGGCACTTGTGAGGATTACCGTCTATTGGAGAACATGAACAAGATTACTAGCTTGAAGTATATGGAAATGAAAGACATTAGCATTAACATCAGTCGTAACCTACAGGATCTTAACAACAAGTGTGAGTACAAAAAACTAAAAAAAACTAGCCCCATAATTTTCATCTGTTACTGGAACTTGTAATATAAGAAGACTTGTCTGGTGTGCATGTTTTCTTTAGATGCAAGTTTACAGCCCTACTTGGACCAAATAAACCAGATTGAGGAGCAAGTATCTGCACTTGAACAAGCTGCTTACAAATTGGATGCATACTCCAAGAAACTGGGTAAGACAGTTAATGACAGAGGTGTAAAAGTGTTTGTTCTGCACAGAGGACAGGATATCTTTTGACACAACATAACTGAATCAGAGTCAAGGATGTTCTAAAAAGCACATCTTAGGTAAAATTAAAATCAACAGCTGAAAGCAACACACATTTGGGGCAGTGTTATCCATTCTTTACTATTATAATTTTTAGATTTCACTGGTGGCTCTACATTTTTTTTTTTTTTTATCTTTAAATGTAAAGTTACTTTAGGAAAGTAACTTTGTCATTGTTTGTTTTGATTTCACAGTACCATCTTTCTTTGTTTTAATTTGCTATGTCTAGTGAACATATTTTTTTTTTTTTTGTTGTGTCTTTGAGAGCACAGTCAAGGTGACAGTGTAGGCTCTTTCTGTATCTGTTGGCTGTTGAGGTTATTATTTATGGTAAAGTCAGCACAATCGTGTTGGCAGCTTCCATGCCAATAGATGGCGCTGTGTCACCACAAACAATTCCTGACCTAAATATTTTAATGTTAAGGTCAAACATTATTTGATTGCACCATAACTGAACAATGTATTTTTATTACAATAGAGTGAGAAGTCATCCCTTTCTTTATCTTTATAGAGGCCAGATTTAAAAAACTGGAGAAGCGATGAGGGGGAAGAGGCGGTAGACTGAGAGCTATGGTGCCTTCCCTTTCACCCTGCCTTGCATTCTGTTTTCCTTGCCAGTGGAGCCAGGACCTGCAGGGAGGATGTGAACTGAGACTGAAACAACAAACAGTCAGAGACACTTTGACACGTAGAAAATACCAAGGAGGAAGCAGCTGAATGCACATGAGTTAGTAATGCAGTGTTTGACTTAGATTTGACTCCAATATCATGCAGCCAAGGTATACAACGTATACCCAAATCCTTTTGCAGATGTCTGTTTTTGTTTTTTGTTTTTTTCCCCTTTGTAGAATAAAAACTCTAAATAGACGGGCTATAATAACTGCGAGATGGAGGATATATTTATTACTAATCAGATAGAAATTCAATGGAGCATTCAACAGCAATGTTATACACAATTTACATGGCAAAGCATGGTCACAGATGTGTTTTAAGAATGTGTTGGAATCCCAGTCTCCTTCCTTGGAAATTGTCTGATACTGAGCCCTGAAAATTTCATTTGTTAGTTCTGATTTAAAATGAATGGTATAAAAAATAAATAAATAAATAAATAAAAAAAACTTTTACACATTCACTAAAGACTTCAAGATGTTTACCAATGATGAAGCTATTGTATAGAGGGCAGTTGATAATGATGACACTTTGACCATGGAGTTTGAAATCTGGAGCTTAAAGGCATTTAATATGACTGGCTTTTTTTTTTTTTTTGGGGGGGGAATAAATTATGATCTGCATATCATTGCTTGATTGATAATACTTTCCTTACAACGGTACTTATTATTTTGCTTTATAAACATGTACATGAGGTGTGTATGTTTTGGGTGTTTTTGTTTGTTTTAAAGCTAATGTAAATGTAATGACGAGGGGAAGGGAGAGGAGAGGTCCTCTTCAAACTGGTGGAGAGCAGCTTAATAAAAAAAAGTGATGGTAGCCAAGGAATACAAAACTCAAGTGTAGCAGTGTATTTTATTTTTTACAATAAATAAATGTGAAAAAACAAGCTAAAGTCCAACTATATATTATAAGTATGGGTGCAACAGTCTTGAAACAAATGCTCTAGTAGCAGCCATCGGAAACCAGTCACCTGTTCTGTCTCAGGACCCAGTAAAAAGGCCTTCACATACTGGTGTTGGCCAGAGGGGCCGATGGCGAGATATGGCAGCCTCGCTTCTGTCAGTCTGCCCCAGGGCAGCTGTGGCTACAACTGTAGCTTGCCTCCACCAGTGTGTGAATGTGAGAGTAAGTGGAATTGTACAGCGCTTTGAGGGCCCCGAAAAGCGCTATATAAAATGCAATCCATTATTATTATTCAAGGGTAGAGCTCCTTGGCATACATCTGTACTATCGATCCTGTTGGTCCCCTTCCTCTGCTGAAGCTCTGCTGCCTCATATGCACCTGCTCTCTTGACTGTCCTCACCTCCCATCTTTTATGCAGAGTGTGCACTGTTGATACTTTGTTTAATTAGGAAGATGTGAGAAGGAAGTAGAAACATTTCAAAACAAGAGCATGCAAAATATGAAGGCTATAAAACATTAAATCTTTCACCTCATGACATAAACAGTGAAAACAGGTTTTCAGATGAAATTTGTATTGACAGCAGATGGCGGACTTGTACCATGGTAATGCTCTAAACTAGTACATTGTTGACAAATTAGATATAGTAAACTGTAATTCTGGAAAAACTGACCCACTCCTGAAAGAGGTTTGAGTCACAAACTTCTCAAATGAACTCTGGGAAAACCGAGACCAACAGAGGGAAATGGATGACACACACTTGATAATTCAAAGGAAAGGATGAATGCGTGACTGAAGATGTGTGTGATGCCCTCTGCCTCCTTTGTTTCCTTCTTTAAATTAGCTCTCCCAGAGCTGAACAGAGCCATGTTTGCCATAGGCAACAGATTATCCAAACTGATAGAACCTCCCTCTGTGTGTTGTTTCATGCACACATATTCATGCGTGTGTGTGTTTGTATAAGGACTAATCTAAAACAGGTCTCTGTCATTAGTCCAGTTGAGGCCCTGGCGCAGAGGGAGCCCATTATTCAAACTGTAATGTTATTTACTGTTGCACTGTGATCCTTCCATCTCTCCCTTTCCCTGCCTTTATCCAGGACCCTGGGGCATAAATTCACCTCCCCTCCCAAAGGCTCTCAAATCAGGTCTATTAGATGATTGAGAGTTGTTTTCTGAAGGCTAAATGTGAGTGCCAACAGGCAGTCAAGCATAGAAAAGAACATACAAATCACGAACCTTATAATATTAAGTTTGTAAAAATATTGTAAAAGCTGGCTGTGCTATAACATCATAATTTGGGTATCACATGTTCTGTGCTAAATGTGTGGATTTAAGACTGGACAGACATAGCATACAGAAAAAAAAGAATTCATGTAATGTGGTCAAGCATATACCCTAGGCGTGACTCAACCATCCCCATCCATTTTCTTCTGCTTATCCATGGGGATAGTATCGTGGGGCTGGAGGTAATCCCAGCTGTCACAGGGCAAGAGGCAGAGAACACCCTGGACAGGTAGCCAGGCTGCCATAGGGTTAACACAGAGAGATAGATAGCCAGTCACGCTTACAGCCAATTTAGACTCATCAATAAACCTAACCACACTACCTGCATGTCTTTGAACTATGGAAGGAAGCCACAGAACATACAAAACTCCACCCAGCAGCTTCTTGCTTTGAGGCAACATTGCTAATATCAACCAGTTAATTAAAATGCAAAGGAATTAAGGAACAATTATATCACATTTATATTTTCCAAAAAAAAGAGCTGTTATTCCAAGGTGTTGCCTTAGGAAGCAGTAAAACAAAAATATCTGACAATATTTGGAAAATGGTAAGAATAAATGGGTGAATGTGTAAGAGCCTCATACTTGTAATAACTACATTTCAAATTCTTCTCATCTTTGTGGACACACAAATACGCATCCATGCAATGCATTTAGTGCAATCAAACTAAATGTATATGCAATCTAACTTGTGCGAGATGTTGGTCAGTATAATAAAGGATACACTGTTAGTTGCAGAGTTAAATGACTGCATTGATAATGCCCCCGCATTATATCATTCTGCTAAATATAACGCTACAGCCAACGAATGGTTAGCTTATCATAAAGAATAACATGAAAGAGAAAAAGGAAGCCTGGCTTGTCCAAAGTTTGCAACATTTGCCTGTAAGCACTCGCAATATAACACTCATTAAATAACAAGATCAGACTATTATGAATTGAGACTTGAGGAGATTAGTGCACCTGAGTAGCAGCCTTGCATTTATCCAAATATTACAGAACAAGTGTCTGTTTCTAAACCTTTTTTCGAAAATCAGTAAAATGTCTTTTATTTTTTTCATCCCACCTTTAGAAGTGCATATTGTGTTACATATCGTAGGTTACTTCAGGCAGGCCATAAAGCCGCATTCAGTCAGCTAATCTCATTGCCTGCATAAATATGATCACAGTTCAGCTGATACCCTTATACTCGTCCAATTTGCAAATCTCTCATAATGACTTCCAGCACATCCTGGGTAGTGTAGCTGAGTGTCAAGCGACAGAGATGACATTTAGCACCTTCCAGTGTGAGGCCATAGCTCTCGGCCGGAAAAAGTTGAGATGCCTCTGGGTTGCTCAGGGGTTGCGGCTCCAAATAGACAAGTTAAAGTATCTTGGGGTCTTGTTTCACAAGTGAAAGTAAAATGGAGTGGGAGATCGACATTTGGATTAGTGCATAGTCTGCATTGATATAGATGCTGCGCTGATCTGTTATAAAGAAGAGCTAATCATGAATGCACAGCTGGTGATTTACTGATAATAGCAATAAGATCCCAGATAAAAGCAGCACCAATGAGCTTCCCCCACAAAAGTCTGGGCTCAGCCGCAGAGACAGTATGAGGCGTTGGGTGTTCAAGAGGCGCTCGAGACCTAAGAGCTGCCTGGGCTGTCCTTAGGTGAGGTATTTCGGGGGGAAGAACCAAGGGCAGAGCAGATATGCTTGAGTGATTATAGCTGGCTTGGTAATGGTTTAGATGGAAGGATGGATGATTGAATTGCATTCTAGTCAGAACACAGTGGCTGCACAACTGCAAGCCACTTTGCAACCCATCTTACTTTTATCTTCTTTTTTTCTTGATGTCATCATCTGTCTTCTTTTTTGGTCTTGCTACTCACTGTATGCCTGTGGTGGGGGATGAGGCTTTTAGGACTGCAAGGTTCTAGAACAGAACCATGCAACCAGGTAAACATTATTGCAGATGGAGATAACAATCTTCTTTTGATTATAGTGAATAATAGTGGGGTTTTTTTTAATACAGAGCCAGGTTTGCTCTTTCCCCTACTTCCATTCTTTATGTAAAGCTGAACTGATACTGGTTATAGCTTCATATTCATTGTAAATACTTGTCAGTAATATAAATCTTCTCATCTAACTATCAGCATTATATTTTATCAAATGTCAAACTCATCATTTAATTGCTGATTTTAGACATGAAATTATCTTGACACTCATTGCTGTTTGCGTTAGGTGACCCTCTTATATTTACAGTGTTACTCAATAACTCAGTCATGTGTTTTGATCAGGATTTTACTCCATACAGGTCCAGAGTGAGTATCTTTTACTACATGCTGTGATGGGCTAACTCATACTTTATTAGATTATTGTAACAGCAAAACGCATGCTTTTAATTTTTTTCACAAGAAAACATCTCTTTTCATTCTCCTTCTCTTTTGTGATTCCCATCCACAATGTAAATGCCGATTCCCAGAGTTGTAATACACCACAGACAGCAGGGGACATGGTGTAGACAATGAGTCCTCTAAAAATACGCTCTAAAATTGATCTTGCAAACCTCACAGCTTTTCCAGCATGCAGGGCTAAAACAATGCATTACAGATGTCTTAATATATGCAACCTATATATCAATAGAAAAGAAACATAGAAGGATTTTTGATTGAATTACATATTAGTAAGATTTAATCCATTTAAAATATTGGTTACACAATACTGGAATTGTTCAAATTCATATCTTCTGAAACGATATGGCCTCAATCTGAAAGATCTCAAGAAATTCCCAGAAATGTGCCTGAGAAAGCATCAAACATATGTCCATCATCAGCTGAAGCAAAGGCGCTGTTTTCTCCAAGAGGAGATTGGGCAAGTTAACAATAACAGGGCAGGATGCCACACCACAGTGTTGTGTAACTGACAAGCAAGCACAAAGTTTGGGAAATGTTGCCTGTGTTCATGAATGAGAGTGAACAAGGACACTCAGAAA